GCCAATTGTACACTCTCCTGTAGTGGTTCATTAAACCACAATACCGACAAGTGATTAATAAAAGTCAAAAGACCAAAAAGGTCACCTTAATACCAAAAAAAAAAAAAATCATTAGGTCAGATAAAGTGAATACCTTCTTAAATGCACTTTTAGCACTATTATCTTGAGCCCAAATTTTAAGCTAACCAAGTGCTAACTCAAGATTTTCTAGTAGCATCTCTTTTTTAAATATAACAAGTTTTGTTTTTTGGCTGATTATCTTTCTTTGCATTATTTTTTAAATCTACACCTATTGTCTTGACATTTTCTTGTAAACAAGATAATTTTTTTTTTGAAATATATTTCTTAAATCATCATCAGAACCATTGTCTGCTTCATATATAAATTTTAATTAAATATACCAATAGATAGTCTTTAGCTTCTTGTAATAATTGAATATTGTTATGTATAAATTCTGAAAATAATTCTTTATTTTTATATTTAGCATTATAATAAAATTTATATATTATTTGCAAAAGGTCATTAAACTGCTTCTTTAAAGGTTGATTGCTTACAAGATTATTATTGATGTAAATTAAAATATCTGGTCTATACTCTATATGTTTTTCAAACAGCTGAAAAATGAATAACTCTAAATAATACATAAATTGAATAAAATTAGCTTCTGGAATAACTATTGTTGTCTTTAAACAAATATTACTTATATATTCTACTTGCTCAGAACTAAAAACATTTAAACATAATTCAATTTTTGCAAATTCCTTATGTGCTAATATTAATTTATCACTTTTTGTTAATTTGTAGATAGTCTATCTAATAATATACTAAAATTTTGATGCCTTAGCAAGTTTCAAGTTAATAATTTTTCCAGGTATAATCCATGAATCAGTATAATTTATAAAAAGTTAATTATGATAATGTCTGTTGTATACTTGTCTGAATGTATTTTTTTAAGTAATATATAGGCTATTAATTATTAGATTTCTATTTTAATATTATTTAAGGCCAACAGTTGAAAGTTGTTAAATCAATTACCTGCATACTTGTAATTATTTAATCAGCTTTTCAGATTTGTTGACCATGTTGTAAGCTAATAGATATTTTTTTTTGTAAAACTAAATCTAATACCATTTGACAAATACTTTTAGACCAAGTTACCAAAAGATTCTTTACATCATCTTTATATAACAATTATTTAATTAATTGTACTCTTTCAAGCTGCAAGCAGTTAATGGTTTTATTTTCTATTCTAATACTTTTATTATTTGAAGATAGTAACAGCTGCATTCATCCTATTATCAGATCATTATTAAGAAGTTCTTAATATATTTAGTAGCTAAAAGTAAGAAGCATTTTAATTTAGAGTTTATAGCAATTATATGCTTCTAAATTCTGCTTATTAGGTTTTACAGTTGTTTAATAATCTCTAAAAAAAAAAAATTATTTTAAAACTTATTGATAAATTTGCATAAGCAAAAATTATCTTTATTTTAAATTAGCAAACACATAGTCTAAACTATTAGCTAAATCATAATTCAAGCTTTGTATTTCTAATATTATTTGCATTGTAATTGTTAACCTGTTCATTGCATATCTGTAGAATTAAACCATATGTGTGAAAAAGTCACTAGCCATTTCTCTAATTAATCTGAATAAACTTTTAAACATATCCTAAAATATTCTTCTTGGTTGAATTATAGCATCTAACTAATTAATAAGTACATATTCTATGATTTCAAGAAATCCATTTATTGATAAAATCAAATCAAACTGGTATTGTGCAGAAAACTATTGACTTGAATCTTTTTTTTGTTTATCATCTTAAATAAACTATTGTTTTATTTTCTTCAAGGTGTTTAAACATGGATTTTCAAGAGAAGAAATACATATTCAACTATATGTAATCTCTTAATACATATGTGTGTAATAAATAAATAACTAGTGATATGCAACAGTATATTAATTTTAGATAATAACAAATAAATAATATCAAGCTTTCAACATATATTAAAACTACTAGGCCACTTTTAACTTAAAAGTTCTAAGTTTTGAATACAACTTTTTCTAAATTGAAAGAAAAAAACTATTCAAAAAATTTTTAACTCAAAGTACTAAATACTATCTTTTCTTTAATAAATAATGTTATTCAACATTCTCTAATGATCATGTTAGGAGGTTTAAATAAATAAATAAATTAATAAAAAAAAAACCCTATCCTAGCTTAAATCAAAAAAAAAACTATAAACCTAAATGTCTTGAAAAATATAATTTAACTTTGGAATATTTGCTATTGCTTTTTTGACATCAAATGACAATATATGTTTTGTAAAGTTCATTTTTATTTTGCTCCAAGGGGTAAGCCAAATATGTTGTTTTGTCAATTTAGTAGTTTTTGCTATCTTATATTTGGCTATATGGTAATATACTTCTTGAAAATGTCACTAGCTAATTTTTCATCTGTTAAACATTATTTTTTTTACATTTTTGTTTTTATTATTACTAGTATAACTTTTAGAAACATTTTTTCTCAACTTTTTAAAAACATGAGTTGGATTATTTAGGAAAAACTATTTATTACCAGTTATAGAATTAATAGCAATATGTGATACACAATGTTTATTTTTATCATACATAGGATGAATATTATAAAGTAAAGACCTCCATTTATACAATTTGACTTTTCTAGTAGTTTCAATCATAACTTTGATATTCAAATAATTATCTACTAAGATTTCAGTAAGCACTTTACCAGAATACTATTTATTACTATATGTATTTTGAACTTTATATTGATCACTAATGTTTTAAATAATTTTTTTTGGCATTAAAGATTATAAAGCTGAATACAAAATACTATACATTGGTAAGACATCTGATAGCTGAACTAAAAATTTAGTATGTTCTAAGTTAAAAGAAATTATTCTAGCTGGTTAATAATTCTTTTACCCTAGCTTGTTAGACAATTGAACTTCTATTTCATTATTCATCTTTTAAATTGTTGCAAACCAATTGAAGTTTTTAATATGTCTTCAGTTTTCATCTGCTTTATTACATAAAGAACCACATATATAAATTGCAACATATTTAAACTTAGCAGCCAGGTAAAAAAGAATTGTATTAAGAGTATGAATACTTATTGTTTTAACATCAAAATAAGTTATTAGAAAATTACAAAAGTGGAATACTAAATGCTATATGATTTGATGAATTTGGATTGCTAAAGTCTGCTTCTGGTCTTTTTTTTCTACTACTTCTTCATGCTTAATATGATTATTTATACATTCTGAGTCTTAAATTTAATAGAAACATTGTTCATTAAATGCTTCAAATTCAGCATTTTCATTGTCAAAGTCAACATATCTGATGTATTTATTGTCACATTAACTTCAAAGAAGTTCTATAATTAACAAAACAATTTAATCTAATAATAAATTTTTCATAATAACTTGTTTTTTTTACTTTTTTAACCTTTTTAAATTTTAAATAAATTATATGAAAAAAAAACCAAGATATGCATAGTTCCAAACATTATTGGCCTTCATATTTGCTATTATTCTTTTTACTACTTTATCTTGCCAACCTGTATGTTGTTCAATTTTATTAATATAGCTTTGAGTGTTGATAATGATAACATTTAAATAACTAACTTTATTGCTTTGTATACAGCAAGGCTTCTACTATAAATTAAAATTGTCTATTAAATAAACCTGCAATAATACAATTAGTAAGATTTTTTCTTAAAGAATATCATTCTTATTTTTACTTACATAAGATGATATTGTACTTCTTTTGGTTTTTTACTTTGCATATAAACTAGTTTTTTTAAAATAACATTTGATATATTTTCATGTTTTTTGTTTAAAACTTCATCAACAATATTGTAAACAATACTTATTAATGGCTCTGATACTTGTTCTTCTTCTGCTTCAAATTTTAGTTTTAAATAATTATAAAAGCTTTCAACTAACTCTTTCTGTATTCAGATTGTCAGAGGTAATAATTTTATTTAATAATAAAAATAATTATTATTTATTAAATTTATATTAACTAAAAATAAATACTTTTCAAGTTTTTTAAACAATTTCAGCTAGAAATTCTCTGAAAGTGTACAATGTCTTAACAGATTAAATATTATTTTTATATTAGTTTTTAATTTAATATAATGTGTTATATAATATTTTACAATTGGCATATATGTTGCTAACTAAGGCAAGAAGAGTACAGTCAATCTTGTAATAAGCTTCATTATCAAGTTCTTTATTTTCTAAATTAGCAATTATCTTATATTCATTTATTGGGCCTATAAAATTTGAATACAGATAGTCACCTTGTAAATAAGTTGCTTGTTCAAATTCTAAATATATTATAAATAATGTTATTATAAAAAATATTATTATTCAAATATACTAATATACTTGCTTTTGGTATATTGTTCTGTACAAGCATGCAATTTTTTAAAAAATCACACAATTAAATAAACTTCATCAATCATTGATATTTTATGCCTAATATCATTTTCTTTTAAAAAATTGTCTCTTATTTCCAAATGATTAACAAAAATTGTACACTTAATAGGTTTCTAATATCTATAAAATGCTTTCTTAATATATAGTTTTTTTTTTATATTTGTTTTAAAGAAAACAAAGCATAAGAATCTTTCCTCTTTTATTAAATTTATCTATATATAATCTTTTTCTTTTAATATTTGCTCAATATTTGTTTTATTGCAATCAGGCTTTAAAAAAATAGTAGCTAAAGCTAATTTTTTGCTCTTAAAAAAATGTTTATTACTAATTGCCTTTATTTATATCAAAAAAGAAGAAAATCACTTTTGTATAATTATATTATATACATATATGTGTTTTTCTAATTTTTTATATAGAATACAGCCTTTTGCAGACTTTTTAAATATTGGGTAAAACTACACATTTTGACTATTAGAATCAGAACAGAGCCAATACAATTGTTGCAAGGCTTCATCTTTTGAATCTTTACTGTGCTTTAAACATTTTGTTGTTAGTTTATTCATTATCTTTTCAGACAAAATATTATTTTTCTAAAAATGCAATATAAAAATTTAGTATATTGTGCAGTGTTTACATATATTAATATGCTAAGATAATAGCTGATTATCTAAATATTATATTTAAAATAATGAGTTTCTCAAATAATGCATATCTAATATAAATAGATTCTTATCAAAACTCTGAATCTCAATTACAATATTATAATATTTATATTTTTGAATCTTATTCTATTTAATAATAATAACAAATATTATTAGTTCCTAGAGTATATCTCATATCAGCAGATTTTTATAATAAATAGATACTTTATGTTTATTTATTTGAATTCTAATTACATGTTGAAAACAATTTTCAAAATTACATTTCTAATCCTAATTTATCTATTTTAACTTCAATTTCCTAATTACTTATTTTAAAATACTCTGAATCCTTATGTTTATCTATTTTAATTCTAATTCAATATTGTTGGTTTGGTTTCTGAATAATTAAAATATAAGATTTAAGATTTTGGTTTGAATCAGTTTATATTAAGTATATGCTATTTTCAAATGCTTATAGGCTACAAGTTATATGCAACATCTTATCTTCATTTCTTTCATTTTAAAATAATTGAATATAAATATATGATTTAGCTTTTAATAATAAATTATTTACTTACATTCATCTATTTCAAGTTTCAAAATAAAAATAATATTCTGATAAACAGGTTATTTCAAAAAAATTTATAATTAAAACTTTGACTAATCGAACCTAATACATATGAATTCATATGATTTATATATGAAATAACAAAATTTGTGCTACTATTAAACTTGTGTAATGATTGAGTTGTTTTTTTCTCATAATTTTACTAATTTCTAAATACTATTATATTTGTTTCTTAAAAAACTTAGTTATACTATTAAGTTAGTTAAAAGACTTATACAACACTTTAATATTTTTAATATTAACCAAAACATTTTACAAATCAATAAACAATCTAACTGTAATCTTTAATTACTTATTTCTGTTGATTCTTCTTATATTCAAACCTGATTACAACATGCCTATTCTATTTAAAAATAATTTTTATTATTATGCTTGCTATTTAGAAAATTTTATTCTATTTTAATAACAACTCAACTAAACTGCTAATAACAAATATTCAATACTTACTATATAATCTACTTAAGCAATTAACAGTATTTTTAATTGTTATTATCAATCTGTTTACTTTTTCAATATCAAATTATCTAACTAAATTATTACTAATCTACTTTTATTAAATAATATATTCAATCTTATTTTTATAATTAGACTGTATTCAGATTCATTAATTATACTTTTTATAAAAATTTTTAATATTATTAATATACTTTCTGCTCTTATATTGATTTCAGTTGATATAATTTTCTTATCTTTTCTATTACTAATGAAGAACTTCTTTAAATTCTCTTTTTACTGCCTAACAACAAAGTCTGTAGTTTTATAAGCATTAGCTATGAAATATTAAGCATATTAGTTTTTTTTTATATTTTTATTATTATGGCTTTCTTTAATCACTATTATTCTAAAAACAGATATTTAAACAATAGAAACATAGCAGAATCTATTTTATCTCTAAACATAATACTTTGATGCCAATTTAAATTTTATTCAAACTATTAGTTTTGTAAATATATTTACAACTTTATACTAAAATGCTTACTAACTTTATATTTTCTTTTTATTTTATCTTTTACTTTTTAATTATATTGCTCTTTTTGATAACAGCACTTTAATTTTTATTTATATTCTTAATAATTTTATTAAAAATGCTATTTATAATCATAAAAAAATTTAGTTATTTTCATAAAATATAAATAAAGCATATAATTTTGTTAACTTTATTTTTTTCAAATACTTACTTTCAAAATTCTTCTTTTCTTAACCTATTATTAATACTTTTTCTAACCTTCTTACTGATTGTTACAATGAAGTTATTATTAATCTTGGTCTTACTTCTTCTTATTTAGTTTATAATAGTATTAACCAAGATAAAACTATCATCTTTTTGCTTTAGCATATCTATTATAATTCTTTTATTTTATATATATACTCAAAAATATTTAATTATATTTTACAATTTTTCTAGATCACTAATTTCAAATCTTAAATATCAAACTCTCTAAAAACTTAATATTCTGTTTTGGTATATATGAACAACATTCTTTAGATAACTTTATTTTAATTTAAGCTTACACATATATTATTTATTACTAAGTCTTTTTATACTATGACAAATATACAAGTTAACTTTTTTAAATCCATCTTGGTTATCAACAATTCTCATATAAGCTGATCTGACTTATTTGGTAATGTTTTTGAATCACATGTTAAGATTTTCAGACCAATCATATCAATTAGAGTTAGTGACCAAAATAGAGTAATATGATATTTATATTACTAATAAACAATATAAAATTAATTTAAATAATCTAATTGGCTAATTTAAATGTTCTTTATTAACAAGCTCTATTTTTTTTCAAGTTTGAAGTTAAAACATTGTCAAAACATCATCCAAAAGTAGGTTGTTAGCATACTAGAAAGTTCTATTTAATGTAATTTTAATATGTTTAATTTTGTTAACTTATTTTCTACTATTTAGTTAAATGGTTCAATTTAGTTCAATGATTTCTAATGCTACTTTCACTCCATCATTATTAATAAACAATAACAAACATTTTGAAAACCAATCTTCTATACAACAAATTAATGCCAAACAACATAAATCTCAAGAATATCAACAGTCTTTTTAGTCTTTATCTGTATCTAATTATACCAATAGTCTTTGTAATATTCGTGATAACTATTCTGATATATATGTGACACATATTAAGTCAAATATATCAACAGAATATCATTACAAAGTATTGCATTTAGGTTACTATTTAAGTCATGTTAAAATGACAAAAAAAACTACCAAAAATGAAGTATGCTATTCTATTTCTATTGATTATATTATTTGCTTAAATATTAGTAAAGTTGAAGCAACTAGTTTAACTAAATATCAGTCTAATAGAAAAGTAACATTTATAGTTAATTGGGTTAGTAATAAAAATAAAGAAGAATCCATAGCAAGTGAACAATCTGCAAGTCATGCAGCACAACTTTTTTTAGAGGTTAATTTATATTTTATTAAACTTTTAAAATAAATTAATTTAATATAAATATTAAAAAATAATTATTAATTTGTATTAATAGAAATTGTGAGGAAATAAAAATTCTAGACTTTCTAATATTATTCTTTTTGGATTTGATCTAAACTGTCTAGATCAAAGATGTATTAATGTACAAACAAAATTAATCTCATTTTATATTCGAAAAAAAGAATATAATAATTTAAAATCTGAATCATAATAAAATAAATGATTAAAAAGTTTAGAAGAGGGTGTGCACAATAGCATTAAACAACAGTTTATATAACATAATTTTCAATATACAGACTTAAAACACTTTACAATTTATACTTTTAATCAAGATATAAAGTTTCAATATACATCAAACAAAACTAAAGAAATGACTGATCAAGAATTGGATTCAATTGTCTGTGCATGTAATAAATCATTAGTATCAAGAGATGGATATCATTGATTATTAGCTGTAATGCCAAGTATGTTATATAAATATTTAATTGCAGAATAACAACAATTTATTAACCAAATTATAGATAATTTAATACTAATAACAGCATTTCAAATTAAACCTAATACAAAATTTATATTTAGAAACCTATCATTATTAGATAATTTTATAGATTCACTTGATAATATTAAAATATTATCAACAGATGTAGGAAATGAAGCTTACCAATCCTTAACTGCACTTTTATTAATTATTATTCCTATTCTTATTAACAAAGAACCTTCAGTTATATCTCATAGTAATGTTATTAAAATAAAATTAGATGGAGATGGACATGAAGTTGGAAAATCAAATCATAATATAATGTTTACAGTTTGTATTTTAAATGAAAAGAATAGTATATTTGATTCTGCAAAACAATACTAGTAATTATTAATTATTTATTATTTGAATATTTTATACTATATATTATTAAACTTAAAATTTTATTTATTATAGTATATGTTTATATACTAGTATAAAAAAATTTGAATTTTTACAATTAGCTTTTAAAGTTTTTATAGATGAATTAAAGCAATTAGTTAATCAGAGATTTGAAGATAGTGAAGAAAATTTTTGGAAATTAGATTTGTAGTTTTTCTTTGATTGGAAGTTTATAGCTCTTGTATTGGGAATTAATGATCTGATATCACATTATTTTTGTTTATATTGTAATTGTCACAAAAATAAATAATAGAATATGAATAAATTATGGATTAATAGTCAAAATATACAAGATATAGTATATGTTATTATAGTAATATATTAAAAAATAATTTAAAAAATTTTAATATTTTAATATATAATATAATTAGGAAAACTTAAAGATCATCAAAGCTTGTTACTCTTTTTACAATCCAATCACTATATACCTGATGAATTACATTTAATGTTATATATTGTTGATGTTCTTCTTGAAGAGCTTTTTTACGAATTAATGAATTATTCAAATTTTAATTTTAAAAGTAAATCTAAGTTAAAATCAAAATTATTGCAATTGCAATCATCAAATATTAGTATTCATAATTAAATTGAAAATATTATGAAATCTATTAGAGTAAATTTTCAATTTTATAATTCAGAAATTGTAGAAGGCAAATATAAATAGACTGCTTTAATAGGATTAGCAAAAAAACAATTATTAGAAAAATTTTCAGTAACAAATTATTAACAGAATCACATAGTTAAATAATTGAAAAATTGTGATGAGATTTTTTTAGTTTATACAAATTAATGCATAGTAAAGATGAGCTAGCAGATACAACTATAGATCAATTTAAAATTAATGCATGAAATTGGGTATTTACATTTTGTCAACCTATTTTAAAAAAAGCTACTGAAGAAATTATACAAGAAGAAATTTACCAATGTTAAGATGTGACTTCTTATATGCATATTTTAGCATGTCATATTCCAGCTTTTATGCAATTACTAAAATTAGAAGGTTTAAATTGTGATATTTTTCAGCTTCTAGTTTAGAAAAAAAAATTATTAGCATATAAATTATTTATTATTATAATTTAGTTTATATATAGTAATTTATACTAATATTAATTATATAATTTATAGGTTCATTTGTTTTTTGATAAAACTATAATAAGTGATGAAAAAACTTGGCAATCACTAGTAAAAGAAATACAAAAATATGAAAATCACTAAATTTATTTTTTAATTTATAAAATTTCAACTTCATATTTTGAAAAATTTATCGAAATTAATAAGTCAAATATTAAAAAATAATAAAGTTTTATTATAATAATCATGTGTATTTTGATAATAAACAATTTTATTTTTTTATTTTTTAATAAAATTATATTTTATATTTTAACTAAAAAATTATAAAAAAATCTAAATTTTATTGTATTCTATAAAAAAATTCACTAAAAAAAAATCATTATAATTTTAATTATTAATTTAATATTAACTAATATACTAAAATAATACTTATTATCTTAATTATTATTTTTAATAAAAATTGTTTGGTGATATGTAGAAAAACTACATGTTATAATTCTATAAAAATAAATAGACTCATATCCATTCTGAAAAATTTTATATAACTTTTGTTTTTAACTAAAACTTATTTTTTTATTAATAAATTTTTTGGTAATCAGGTCTTGTTACTGATAATTGACTATAGTTTCTCCATCTATCTTATTTGTTTTTATCACCAGTTAGAACATTAAAATATTTTACCAATTTGTTTTATTTTAGCCTAACTTTTAAATATACAATTATATTTGTAACTAGATACTTGAAAGGTAAAAGTTTCTTGTTCTCAAAAGATAAAATAAAACAAATTTTCGTTATAATATATTTGAAATTTTTTTTGCCTTCTGTTATATGATGTGACCCAAGTCAGAATTGTATAGTATCAATAAACAAATTACAAAAGTAATAATAAGAAGAATAAAGTAGTACAGAAAGAATATATTAGTATGGAATGATAATATTTTGATTGCAAAATTTTTGTTCATATACAACTAAAGAAGCTTTATTTATATATGACTTATTATATAAAAGATAATGAAAAGGTTTGGTTGCCATTGATTATTAATATATAAAAGTAAAGATTATGATATATAACAGATAATTACTGATATTAATTATTTATGTACTATGTAGTATAGTATGTTTATCCCAATTTGGAATATCATATTTATCATATTTAGATATCACAAGTGATGAGCATTATTTGTCCATATATTATCTAATTAAATTCTTATCTTCTATATCAATTAAGCTTTTTTTTACACTTTTCTAACTAATTTTTAAATTTTTTAGTTACTAGTTTATTTTAAATAACATAAAATCTAAACAAATAAAACTATTTTCTTTTAAATTATTCTAATTTATTTTATTTTATTTATTTTTTTTTGAAATGCCAAAGTAGAAACTTTATTAAGTAATAGAAGAATTATATTAAAGATTTCTAAACTATATTTGTGCTACTTATTTTAAGACACCCAATGTAACATTACATCACCATTTCTATATAACACTATTTCAAATTAATTTTAAGTATAGAAAGGTTAAAGAAAACTTAAAGCAATAGTTTTGGCATTTAGTAAATACAATTAGTAAGTGAATAGTCTAAGAATAGCCAGTTTTTAATAGACATAGTAGGGTTAATAGTAGATGTATTTGAGATATTAGATGTTGATTGAGGAGTGAGAATTAAAGAGTATATTTTTGAATGTTTGAATTTGTTAGTTATATTGTGAGTTTTTTCCTATTGTTATTGAAGAATATTATATAGTAGCCATATTTGTTAATAAAACCAATTAAAAGAAGCATTAGATAAGGTTGTAAGAAAGAGTAATGTTGTTTTGTAAAGAAATATTTTAATATTGTCATATAGAAATATAGGATAGAGGTCTTAAATAAGATTCAAAAAGTAAAGATATAGTAATGTATTAAGGTAGTAGAATAATGTAATATAAATAGTATTTGTAATTTTAGCAGAGATATTTAATTGTTAAGTAGTATTTATAATTAAGCTATAAAGAATTTGTTGAAGATTGAATTTTTGTTTAAAGCAGATTAATAAATAAGATATATCTTCAGTTAATTAACAATGAACACAATTTGGAGTAGTATACAATAAGAGATAGTATATATTAAGATTTTGCATAGTTAGTAAATTATTATTAATTATTTTTAGTTGAAATGAATAGAATTTTTGATCATTATTAAGTGAATTAATAATATTAAGATTGGTAGACCATTTAATAGAAAGTGGATTTTAAAATATTTAAGTTGTGACCAAGTAAGAAGTGATTAAATAATTGTAGTATTTTAGATATATAATTATGTTATGTAAAGTAGAAAGAAAGTATTGTTTTAAAGTTGGATATAATTTGGTATTTATTAGTATCTTGTTTGGCTAAAAGATTAATTTGATTGTAAAAAGAGTTATTAAAATAAGATTTGATTTTATGAAAAGAAATATTAAGAGACTTTGTTTTAATAAAATGGTGAATAATAAATAGAATATCCCAGTTTTTTTATATAGAAGAATTTATGTAATAATGAAAATAGTTGAATATTTTTAAGTGCAGAAAGATTGTCCAGATGTATATTATTTTGTGAATTTATTGACAAGATAAGGAGAAAATATAATATTGCTTCAAGTTTTGCTCAGGTAGAGTTAGGATATGAAAAAATAGAACAGTTAAATTTGATTTAGATATTGTGTTCAGATATCCATCCAATTTCAATTTTTTTTTTTTTTTTTTTTTAGCTGATGTTATCGGTTGCTATCACCTTTATTTGTGTTTTTGGTCAATGCATTACATGTGACTTGTACAAGGTAAGTATGCAACTAGCCACACATGTAACTTTTGGTTACCTATTTAAGTAGTCCACCCAAGAGTTCTACACTAGCTGCCATGCCTGTAACCTACTAGGAGGGTATCTATTTAAACACTCTGGTTCTTATACTACATCCAGACGAGTAACACCTAGTTCTCATACAACTAAGTGCCGTCTAACCCAACATTTGGCTTTCTCCTTTTGTATGTTCATCAAGCTGTTAAACATTTCAGAATATGTCACCTGACTGTAAGGTTCTAGAGTACCTTCTTGTTAACTACCTACCCACTCTACAGAACATTAACAAGGCTAGCCCTTGTAGAGTTCACCCAAACCTCAGTACCTACTTCACAGCATATCCCTAGTACTTATAGTATACCCTTGCTTTGACTCCAGACTCTCAATCCAGATAGCCCAGTAGAACTGTGACCTGTCCTTGGTATATCAAGCCAGCCTGATATTCTTTTCCTCTGGTTCAGTTCTGGTGGCCTGGTTGGTGGTACCCCTTACCTAAGGTTCTTGCCTGTCCGGCTCCTTCACATTGGTATCTGTTTCCTAGGTCTAGCTTTTACAGTGGTACTGTCGAAGATCTGTGTTACCTCTCTACTCAGGTCTTTTTAAGTTGGCTCCGGTTTCCCAGTTCTATGAATTTATACAGCCACAAGGACTTATTTTAGGTTTGCACCGCCTGGTACTGGTTTGCATTCCTCTGTATAACCAAGGTTACACAGATGCCCTGTGACCTGCCAGTCATGCTGGTGCGATCATAGTTACAGGTATCCTATCCTAACTGATCGACAGAATGCTGTCACCATAATACCGTCTATGTATTACATAGGTGATTATTCAAATTTTTCACTGTCAGTGGGTTTTTGAACTCACAATCTACTACTTGAGAGGTTGACAACTTATCCACTTCACTAAGTCACTACATCCTCAATTTCAATTTTAGAATATAATGTTTGATCATTAATAATTAAGGCATCTGTATAGAAATGAATATCATTTAGAAGATTTTTTGTTAATAAAAATAATTCGATAACTTGGTTTTGATAATTGGAAAATGATATATATTTTTGTATTATTTGTATTTTCATTTTAGAAATGTATATAATTAGAGTTTGAGTTAGTATAAGTGGTAGGAAAGTTTGTTGTAATATATTGATAAGTGTAGCAATTTTATGATTATTAATATAAAGAGAGTAAATATTATCTTTTTTTGATGACTTAATATTTAAATATTAATGAAAGTTTGAAGTAATAGTATAGGTGGATTAGTAAAAATCAGAAATATAGAGCCATGAGCAGTATTGTTGATTGAGAAGAAATTAGATAAATTCTTTGTAAAAAGAATTTAGAAATTGTTAAGAAGAATAGACCATTGATTTAATAATAATAAGTGAAAGAATATAATTGTATTAAGAGAATTAATAAAGCTATTAATATTAGGTAGGTTAAGATATGATTATATTTAGTAAATAGTATTATTTTGAATAAGATTATAAAGTTTAGTAAACCAGAAAGAAGTAGGTCCATGTATAGATTTCTTAGTTCATATATATATATTATTTCAAAATAAAAGATATAAGTTGTTAGCAGTTGTAATTTGTTTAATAAAGAGTATTTTATTATTATAAAGACTATTTGTTAAAGAGAAAAAGATATTAAATGAAAGAATGTCATATATATATATATATATTTTTGTTAAAGGCTATACTTGTGACTAGAGGCCTATGTTAGGTTCTGCAGCCTGGCCTGGCTAGGTTTGAAGCAAAATTTTATAATTGCAGGCCGAACTAAATCGAAAAATTTGTAAAACTTTATGATTGTGGGCCAGTGCGGGCCTGAAAATTTGTAAAATTATATAAGAAATTTTTGCAGGCTAAGCTGGGCTGGGCTGAAGAAAAAATTTAACATATGTGGGCCGAGCCAGGCTGAAAAAAAAATAATAACCCAAATATGGGCTGGGCTGGGTCTAAAAAAAATTTTTAACCCTAATTGCAAGCCAGACCAGGCCTCAAAAATAGGCAATTTGCAGGCTCCTACTTGTGACAATACTTTATTGACTTTATATTAGGTTAGCTATTACAACTATTTTTACAAATATAAGAGTACAGCTAGTTATGCATGCAACTTTTGATTGCCTATTTAAGTAGTCTGCTATAAGGTTCTATACTAGATGCTGTATCTATAACCTACTAGGAGATTATCTATTTAAACCCTCTGATTATCTGCCTTGTTATATTGGAATTCCCAACTAACCCCCCATATATACCTAACCAGTATACCATTTGAGCAGTATGGTACCTATCCTTTTTGTACTAGTTCTCAGACCATTATATATTTTAGAGTACATCACTTACCAGTAAGATGCAGGAGACCCTCTGTTGTTAGCTATTTACTCACTTTTAGAACACTAATACAGATTACACTTGCAGAGTTTACCCAGACCCCAGTACTGACTTCATAACATATCCCTAGTACTTTTAGTATACCTCTGCTTTGAATCCTGACTCCCAATTCAGATAGCTCAGAAGGACTGTGACCTGTCTTGGTATATTGAGGCTGGTCCAATATCCTTTTTCTTCAGTCTGAAATTCAGTGACCTGGTTGGTGGTACTTCTCACCTGAGGTTATTGCCTACCTAAATCCTTTATATTGGTATCTATTTCCTAGGTCTAGCCTTTACAGTAGTACTGTCAAAGATTCATGTTACCTCTCTGCTTAGAATTTTCAAGTAGGCTCCAGCTTCCCAGTTTTATGGATTTACACAGCCTGAGGACTTATTTTAGGTTTGCACCACCTGGTATCAGTTTGCAT